GTAACCCCGGGGGCTAATTGGTTGACCTCAGATGACCCCGGGGCTCCCAAAATCTCTAAGTTTGACCTCGAGTAACCCCGGGGGCTAATTGGTTGACCTCAGATGACCCCGGGGCTCCCAAAAATCTCTAAGTTTGACCTCGAGTAACCCCGGGGGCTAATTGGTTGACCTCAGATGACCCCGGGGCTCCCAAAATCTCTAAGTTTGACCTCGAGTAACCCCGGGGGCTAATTGGTTGACCTCAGATGACCCCGGGGCTCGCAAAAATCTCTAAGTTTGACCTCGAGTAACCCCGGGGGCTAATTGGTTGACCTCAGATGACCCCGGGGCTCCCAAAAATCTCTAAGTTTGACCTCGAGTAACCCCGGGGGCTAATTGGTTGACCTCAGATGACCCCGGGGCTCGCAAAATCTCTAAGTTTGACCTCGAGTAACCCCGGGGGCTAATTGGTTGACCTCAGATGACCCCGGGGCTCGCAAAAATCTCTAAGTTTGACCTCGAGTAACCCCGGGGGCTAATTGGTTGACCTCAGATGACCCCGGGGCTCGCAAAAATCTCTAAGTTTGACCTCGAGTAACCCCGGGGGCTAATTGGTTGACCTCAGATGACCCCGGGGCTCGCAAAAATCTCTAAGTTTGACCTCGAGTAACCCCGGGGGCTAATTGGTTGACCTCAGATGACCCCGGGGCTCGCAAAATTCTCTAAGTTTGACCTCGAGTAACCCCGGGGGCTAATTGGTTGACCTCAGATGACCCCGGGGCTCGCAAAAATCTCTAAGTTTGACCTCGAGTAACCCCGGGGGCTAATTGGTTGACCTCAGATGACCCCGGGGCTCGCAAAAATCTCTAAGTTTGACCTCGAGTAACCCCGGGGGCTAATTGGTTGACCTCAGATGACCCCGGGGCTCGCCAAAATCTCTAAGTTTGACCTCGAGTAACCCCGGGGGCTAATTGGTTGACCTCAGATGACCCCGGGGCTCGCAAAATCTCTAAGTTTGACCTCGAGTAACCCCGGGGGCTAATTGGTTGACCTCAGATGACCCCGGGGCTCGCAAAAATCTCTAAGTTTGACCTCGAGTAACCCCGGGGGCTAATTGGTTGACCTCAGATGACCCCGGGGCTCCCAAAATCTCTAAGTTTGACCTCGAGTAACCCCGGGGGCTAATTGGTTGACCTCAGATGACCCCGGGGCTCGCAAAAATCTCTAAGTTTGACCTCGAGTAACCCCGGGGGCTAATTGGTTGACCTCAGATGACCCCGGGGCTCGCAAAATCTCTAAGTTTGACCTCGAGTAACCCCGGGGGCTAATTGGTTGACCTCAGATGACCCCGGGGCTCGCAAAAATCTCTAAGTTTGACCTCGAGTAACCCCGGGGGCTAATTGGTTGACCTCAGATGACCCCGGGGCTCGCAAAAATCTCTAAGTTTGACCTCGAGTAACCCCGGGGGCTAATTGGTTGACCTCAGATGACCCCGGGGCTCCCAAAATTCTCTAAGTTTGACCTCGAGTAACCCCGGGGGCTAATTGGTTGACCTCAGATGACCCCGGGGCTCGCAAAAATCTCTAAGTTTGACCTCGAGTAACCCCGGGGGCTAATTGGTTGACCTCAGATGACCCCGGGGCTCCCAAAATTCTCTAAGTTTGACCTCGAGTAACCCCGGGGGCTAATTGGTTGACCTCAGATGACCCCGGGGCTCGCAAAATTCTCTAAGTTTGACCTCGAGTAACCCCGGGGGCTAATTGGTTGACCTCAGATGACCCCGGGGCTCGCAAAAATCTCTAAGTTTGACCTCGAGTAACCCCGGGGGCTAATTGGTTGACCTCAGATGACCCCGGGGCTCCAAAAATCTCTAAGTTTGACCTCGAGTAACCCCGGGGGCTAATTGGTTGACCTCAGATGACCCCGGGGCTCCCAAAATTCTCTAAGTTTGACCTCGAGTAACCCCGGGGGCTAATTGGTTGACCTCAGATGACCCCGGGGCTCGCAAAATCTCTAAGTTTGACCTCGAGTAACCCCGGGGGCTAATTGGTTGACCTCAGATGACCCCGGGGCTCGCAAAAATCTCTAAGTTTGACCTCGAGTAACCCCGGGGGCTAATTGGTTGACCTCAGATGACCCCGGGGCTCGCAAAAATCTCTAAGTTTGACCTCGAGTAACCCCGGGGGCTAATTGGTTGACCTCAGATGACCCCGGGGCTCGCAAAAATCTCTAAGTTTGACCTCGAGTAACCCCGGGGGCTAATTGGTTGACCTCAGATGACCCCGGGGCTCCCAAATTTCTCTAAGTTTGACCTCGAGTAACCCCGGGGGCTAATTGGTTGACCTCAGATGACCCCGGGGCTCGCAAAAATCTCTAAGTTTGACCTCGAGTAACCCCGGGGGCTAATTGGTTGACCTCAGATGACCCCGGGGCTCGCAAAAATCTCTAAGTTTGACCTCGAGTAACCCCGGGGGCTAATTGGTTGACCTCAGATGACCCCGGGGCTCCCAAAAATCTCTAAGTTTGACCTCGAGTAACCCCGGGGGCTAATTGGTTGACCTCAGATGACCCCGGGGCTCCCAAAATTCTCTAAGTTTGACCTCGAGTAACCCCGGGGGCTAATTGGTTGACCTCAGATGACCCCGGGGCTCCCAAAAATCTCTAAGTTTGACCTCGAGTAACCCCGGGGGCTAATTGGTTGACCTCAGATGACCCCGGGGCTCGCAAAAATCTCTAAGTTTGACCTCGAGTAACCCCGGGGGCTAATTGGTTGACCTCAGATGACCCCGGGGCTCGCAAAAATCTCTAAGTTTGACCTCGAGTAACCCCGGGGGCTAATTGGTTGACCTCAGATGACCCCGGGGCTCGCAAAATCTCTAAGTTTGACCTCGAGTAACCCCGGGGGCTAATTGGTTGACCTCAGATGACCCCGGGGCTCGCAAAAATCTCTAAGTTTGACCTCGAGTAACCCCGGGGGCTAATTGGTTGACCTCAGATGACCCCGGGGCTCGCAAAAATCTCTAAGTTTGACCTCGAGTAACCCCGGGGGCTAATTGGTTGACCTCAGATGACCCCGGGGCTCCCAAAATCTCTAAGTTTGACCTCGAGTAACCCCGGGGGCTAATTGGTTGACCTCAGATGACCCCGGGGCTCGCAAAAATCTCTAAGTTTGACCTCGAGTAACCCCGGGGGCTAATTGGTTGACCTCAGATGACCCCGGGGCTCCCAAAAATCTCTAAGTTTGACCTCGAGTAACCCCGGGGGCTAATTGGTTGACCTCAGATGACCCCGGGGCTCGCAAAAATCTCTAAGTTTGACCTCGAGTAACCCCGGGGGCTAATTGGTTGACCTCAGATGACCCCGGGGCTCCCAAATTCTCTAAGTTTGACCTCGAGTAACCCCGGGGGCTAATTGGTTGACCTCAGATGACCCCGGGGCTCGCAAAAATCTCTAAGTTTGACCTCGAGTAACCCCGGGGGCTAATTGGTTGACCTCAGATGACCCCGGGGCTCGCAAAAATCTCTAAGTTTGACCTCGAGTAACCCCGGGGGCTAATTGGTTGACCTCAGATGACCCCGGGGCTCGCAAAAATCTCTAAGTTTGACCTCGAGTAACCCCGGGGGCTAATTGGTTGACCTCAGATGACCCCGGGGCTCCCAAAAATCTCTAAGTTTGACCTCGAGTAACCCCGGGGGCTAATTGGTTGACCTCAGATGACCCCGGGGCTCGCAAAAATCTCTAAGTTTGACCTCGAGTAACCCCGGGGGCTAATTGGTTGACCTCAGATGACCCCGGGGCTCCCAAATTTCTCTAAGTTTGACCTCGAGTAACCCCGGGGGCTAATTGGTTGACCTCAGATGACCCCGGGGCTCGCAAAATCTCTAAGTTTGACCTCGAGTAACCCCGGGGGCTAATTGGTTGACCTCAGATGACCCCGGGGCTCGCAAAAATCTCTAAGTTTGACCTCGAGTAACCCCGGGGGCTAATTGGTTGACCTCAGATGACCCCGGGGCTCGCAAAAATCTCTAAGTTTGACCTCGAGTAACCCCGGGGGCTAATTGGTTGACCTCAGATGACCCCGGGGCTCGCAAAAATCTCTAAGTTTGACCTCGAGTAACCCCGGGGGCTAATTGGTTGACCTCAGATGACCCCGGGGCTCCCAAAAATCTCTAAGTTTGACCTCGAGTAACCCCGGGGGCTAATTGGTTGACCTCAGATGACCCCGGGGCTCGCAAAAATCTCTAAGTTTGACCTCGAGTAACCCCGGGGGCTAATTGGTTGACCTCAGATGACCCCGGGGCTCGCAAAAATCTCTAAGTTTGACCTCGAGTAACCCCGGGGGCTAATTGGTTGACCTCAGATGACCCCGGGGCTCCCAAAAATCTCTAAGTTTGACCTCGAGTAACCCCGGGGGCTAATTGGTTGACCTCAGATGACCCCGGGGCTCGCAAAAATCTCTAAGTTTGACCTCGAGTAACCCCGGGGGCTAATTGGTTGACCTCAGATGACCCCGAGGCTCGCAAAAATCTCTAAGTTTGACCTCGAGTAACCCCGGGGGCTAATTGGTTGACCTCAGATGACCCCGGGGCTCCCAAAAATCTCTAAGTTTGACCTCGAGTAACCCCGGGGGCTAATTGGTTGACCTCAGATGACCCCGGGGCTCCCAAAAATCTCTAAGTTTGACCTCGAGTAACCCCGGGGGCTAATTGGTTGACCTCAGATGACCCCGGGGCTCGCAAAAATCTCTAAGTTTGACCTCGAGTAACCCCGGGGGCTAATTGGTTGACCTCAGATGACCCCGGGGCTCCCAAAAATCTGCAAATTTGACCTCGAGTAAAGCTTGAGTAACTTCTGCATGGAGTAACCTCCCCTGCATCTTTTTTCTGCCTCTCCAGTTTGTGGGGTTTCCCCACTGCAGCAGCAGTTGCTGGAGACTCAGTGCCCCCCACTTTCAGGGTTCCCCCCCTTCCATGCATTGGCCCTTCCAGATTCAGGCGTTGTTTGAAAAACATCAGCACAGGTTTAAGCCTCAAAGCAAGACTTTACTTTACAGAGCTTGCGTTCGTTAACAAAAATCATCACCACAGCTCACTTCTTAACCACCCTCCCCACACAGGCAAACAATTAGTCCTTAACAAGCACATCCCAAATTAGCTGTGAGTATAAAATGGCAGAGAAGAGGTCTGTTAGGGTTTGATCCACTTCCAAGGTGAGTGGCTTTGTGGGCTGTAGCATGCAGCTAGCAATCAATGCTGCTGGGCATCTTCTTTTCCACCTCATTTTTATCCTTTCTTGGTGGTATTTTCTTCTTCTGAAAGGCACAGGGGCACTTCCCCTGCTCCTGACAGAGCTGACTTCTTGTACTTGCTGGCCATACAGCACACATGCAGCCAGCTGCTCCTTTGTGCTTGCCTATCCTCTGCGCAGTGGCACTTTGTTATTGTATTGAGTGCCTTTTGCTGGTGGGCTTACTACAGACTTTCATCTTGCATCTCCACTCTTGCTGCTTACCCTTGTTGCATTCTCTTCTCCTCTTAGTGCAGCTGGGCACCCATGCTGGGCTCCTCCTGAGGGACTCTGCTTTTACATAAGGGGGAAAGTAGATATTAATAATAATTATCACCATCATCTGTGAAAGGATTCCAAGCTTTACTTCCGACCCATCCTCCTATGTGAGTGATTCCAGAGGCAGTCCATATCAGAGGACTTCCGTCTCCTGTTGAGGGTCCCCAGGAGCAGAGAGCTGGCAGGGGAGCTTCTGCAGAAGGGCTGTTCTTGTAGGAGCTCTCATTATTCTCTGGGTGAGCACAAGTGCGTTCTCTGGCTGTGGGCTGCAAGCCATACAAATTCCTGAAAATGAAGAGAGAGAAAAATCAGTAAATTCCTAATCTCTGTGTGTCTGCATCCCACCTGGAAAGAAATGGATGTTGTCTGAGGTCGAGAGTGCCCAAGGAAGGAAAGGGTTATTGTCCTGGGACAGAACAGAGATAGGAAAGGAAGAATTAATTCCAGGTGTCTGTGAAGTGACTGAAAACATTTGGGGCTTTCCTGTGGTGCTCCCTGGAGCTGGGTATCTCCTCAGTGCTTAAACGGGCTGCAACAGCCCACCCCATGCAAGAAGGTTCTTTGTTAGAGCCAGTGGCAGGAATTTCTTACTCCTTTTTCATGAGACAGAGAAAAGCCTGGTCTTGGTATCTCCCCTTCAGTCAGAGTCCCAGAACTGTAGGGTTGCTTTGCAGAGAAGGAAGGAAATGTACAGGAAAGAAGCTACAAGTAAATGACAGAAAATCTCCCCAGCTGCAGTCAATGCTAGCTGCATGCTCTCTGTGGGCAAGCCTCGTCCCTCCCCTACCAGGCATGTGAGGGGAGTGTCCTGGCACCAGGTGCAGGCAGGGACTTGGGTTGTGAGCTGCCACTGTGTCTGTGCATTCCCTTAGCATGCCTGGGAGGTCAGTGCCCCTCTGCGTGGCTGGACACCCAACATGACTTTGCTTTTCCAGAGGCAGTTTCAAGCACAACAATCCAGATATAAGTTGTGGGTCATATGGTTTAATTTAATATAGTGTAATTTATGCATAATTCTTAGAACTTAGCCATGCTGAAGGAAGAGTTTTGCATTGTGTAGCTCTTCATAACATGAAATATCTGCCCAAGCCCCATGCTCGTATCTAATTATGACTACATTCTGTCACTGTATTAATGCTTTGCCTTTTCCATAGATTATCTTTACAAATGGATATAAGGCCATGTTGACTGACACCAGAGTACATTCTTCCTCAGAAAACAATCATTCTTTCTTCTACTTACAACCCAGTGTTAGTTTTATTTCTTCTCTGTTAGGTGTTTTATCTGCTTGGGAACTCTAATTCTTACTATTCTGTTGTCAAATGCTCTGACAATGGGCAGGACAAAGCTTCTTGCTCATTGCTCAATTTTTTTTATCATTATCCTTACCTTCTGGCAGTGTTTGGGTTTGTTAACATCTCGGGCTCTTTTTTTTTTTTTTTGCAATCATCCACAACAACACTAATGCTCACAAAGAAAGAGACAAGCAATGACACCATCCTGCAGAACTTAGCATGGCTGCACGTGACTTGATGAAGACAGGTCTACAAAAGAAAATCAGTTGGTCACTTACGCAACTGTGATGTAGTTACTCAGCTTCTAAGGTGTAACATTGATGTCTGTCTTCTGCTGTCCTGCACTGGGAGTGTAATCCTTTCATTGATATGTATCCATGCCGTGCTTCCGCGGGGCATCTCAAGGTGCTCTGTGCTGTTTTACCCTCTAGGAGAAATTTTGAAAGCGGTCTTAGTTTCAGAAAGTCTTACCTTTGTGGTTCACCAGTACAGACAGAAAAAGTATTATGCACATTTCTGGTGTATTGTTAACAAAATATCCCCTTCAAATGGGCTTTTATTCAATTTCTGATTGAAACTTGCTTCTTTACTGCAATGCTCTGTTAAATTTTATCATGAAGATCCTTTTTTACCCAGGCATAATCGGGGACCAGGGTTCAGGTTGTTGGTTACAGGATTAATGGCATATTCACAACTGCATGGAAATCCCATTAACCTCACGCTTTCACTATGTCCTTCGAGGCTTTGAGAGCTTCCTTCTCTATTTCTTCCCTTCCAGAACGTCAGTACTGGGGCTCAGACCTGCAGCTTCCCGAAATACCTTTTGAAGAAATCATGTACAATGATCGGAGTGCATACCAGTGGCTGTGCACCCTAAAGAAAGTGGGAATTGTGCTACTAACAGGAGCTGCTGCTAGGCAAGGGGAGTTGGTTAAGCTTGGCCACAGGATTGGTTTCCTGCGTCTCACTTTTTATGGGTAAGTTGCTGTTGGTTTTTAGTTGTTTTTTGGTTTTGTTTTTAATATCCTTGCTTTGCCAACTGTAATCGCGTATTTCACTTCAGCTTACTGGACCTCTCTTGTGGATTAATTTATGAAAGCAAGAGGATTTTTTTCTTGCCTACTATTATGAAAATGCAGAGACAATTGTTAATCTGTATAAGGCAAAATGTCTGACAACAGATACCAGATACATGACAACCCCAAGAGAGCCATATTCATCTGTATCACTGAGCAAAATCAAAAATCCCTAATCCAGTTCCCTTCTGCACAGAGGATGAGGTAGCTGTACTGAAACATTTTCTTAGCCTGCTGAGTTCTGGAAATAGGTAAGAGCATGCTGAGATGTGCGAAAATCCACTTTTCCCTACTGTGAGCAAAGTCCAACCTGAAAAGCCAAAACCAACCTCACAATGCAGTACCCCATGAGACTACATAAAAGACATCTTCCAAATTGCTGTACCTATGAATAATAAAGTTTGGGGGGGGGGGGGGGGGGAGGAGGGGAGGGATGGTTTGTTTCACTTTTTCCTTTAATTACCAGAACACTAGGACTCTGTAGCTTGGCCTGGATCACCTCTTCCTTGGGAAGACGTCTAGAGCATGTTCACATCTTATTTTAGTCCCAGGAATTGATAACTCATTGGGGGAAGAGGCAAAATTCAGTTTGCTATTGAAATCCAGCCCCCAAACCCTAGCTCCACAACATGTCCCATGCCTTGCTGGTGCAGGTCCCAGCCCTGTGTGCTCCTTGCTGGTATTTCACAGCTGCTCCTTGTTTCTATTTTAGTCTTTCTTAAAAGATGGTAACATTTAAACACACTTGTTATTTCTTTGTGCCTGAAAACACACCACAACATGATCAATTTAGGGCTTCCCATCTGAAAAGTTCCCTTCTCCCCCATAATAAATTAAAAGATAAATATTACAGCAAGACTTCTTCACTTGAATCTACTAGTTCAGAAGACAACCAAATAAACCATGTGGGCAACAACCAAAGCATCTCCTTTGTCTAAAATTATGTAAAATAACAAGCAGGAAAATAGTCAACCTTTGCCAGAAAGATGATGTTCCCACCAGACTTTAACTCAGAAGGGAAGATTTTCTTCCCCTTAATAGTCTTGTATGGAGGCACATGAGTCCTGTTAGAATATGCCATGTGGGTGAGGTTGGTATGAACAGCACTGCGATACTGGGAGAAATTTATTAAATCAAGAGGGAGGAGGGTAAAGGAAAGGTCCTTTTTTCAAGCTACAGTGCTTAGGACTTACTGTTTATTGTTACATCTTCTTTTTACCAGTGAAGTTCCATCATTAGATAATACTGCTGGCTCTTAAATTTATTAAACAACTTCTCAAAGGCAGGGGAAGAGCTAGTGTGATAATAATAGCAACTTCTGGCAGCATGGAAGTTAGTCCTGATCCATTCTCTCCACTTTAGTGTTGCTTTCTGCCCATGCACCCAGAGGACCCTGCTCCCAGGTCAGCTGCTGCCCTCAGACATGCTCACATATGAGCCCTGACACTAAATTGCATGAATGTAGAGGGAAAGAGTTTAAATCTATGAACAAGACCTGCTATCTTTTTCTTTCTCACTAGTTATATTTCAGTATTTCTGCAACAAAAGCTTGATTCAAATCTCTGGCAGCCCAAGCATCCCTCTGGCAGAGTCACTCACTGGCACATTGGTTCCGTGTGGGGTTGCCTCGGAGCAGTGTCCTTGTGACCTTGGCCGCAGCGTATGGCTGTACTCCAGACAGCACTCCAAACACTAGCACCCCTAACGGAGAACAAAAACATAGTTTTTAAGGCGTAGTTATGGATTTGCTTCTGCAAGGTTCACCAAAGAATATTGTGCTTGGATAAAACACAAGTGAAAGCTGAGTGGCTTATCCTGCACTAGGAACATGTCAGTTGACTTGAAAACTAAACACCACAACCCCTGTAAGGAATGGCTGTGGCCACGGCATCCCTTACCTTGGTCACACACAGGAAAAATGGAATTCTTTGTAATACTTCTTATGTTGAAAATCAATCTGTTTCTGTGACACTTTTTTTCCTGTGCTTCAAACCTGGGAAGCTGGCTCAGGAAAAATCTTCAAAATCAGCCAAAATTCTGAGTTCACTTCAGTGAACTTCAGATACAACACTTGTGAGAATGGCATTTTATTATTTATTTTTTTCTGTTGACCTCTCAAAAGAGGGGGGTAGAGGGAACAACTGCTTTAAATTACCATTAATATTATGAGTCTTCTGTCAGTTCCAGAAACCACCTTAAATATTTGTAAGGCTTGAAAAAGAAACATGTATAATGTACTAGGTTGGTTAAGATGATGTACTTTCACTAGGATGTTTTTTTCCCCTTTCTGCTCACTGTGCCAGAAGGAAAAGTGGTTTTCAATGTTAACTGGGATTTGGTCATGTCCATCCTACTAAATCTAATGGGAACAGAACTCCCTGCTCCACTTGGAAACCTCATCCAGTGCTAGTAAATATTTTCTGCTGTTAAAAGCATTCCTAATGTCAAGCACGTCTACATCTGGCAGCCTGCTACAGGTCTCACTTAAATACTTGCATCGTTATGCAAGTAGCACCGCTTGCTTTTTCTGTTCTGATGTGCTCCTCATAGCAGCTATGCAGTGGCTCCCTTCTCAGGGTGTTCTGCTGCTCTCTGGGGTACCCGAGGGATGAAAGCTGCAGGGGTATCTTAGTTCAGTTAGCAATGAGCAGAGAACAACAAACTGGTTCCTTGTTAAAGCATATCACTACAACAAAGTACATAATATCTGCACGATAGCTTGAGACAGGGGAAAAAGCAACCCTTCAAAATACCCCACATGTGTGCTTGGGTTACAACAGAACTTGTAGGAGCTTCCCTTTGTTTAAGGGATGAGGAACTGGATCTAGAAGTTCCTAGGCCCTAAAACTGGAAATGATCTCTACATCTCCTAGAGGCATTTCATCCACTGTCCATCTGCTGAGTGCCACAACATGTTTTTCACAAAGGCATCCAAAAGGTTTTGATACTTACAACACTTAGCAGCACTGTAAGCACTGTAAGATGAAACATCTGCCATTCTGCTTGGCTGTCTGCCTCAGCTCTTGGCATCCTTGCTGTTCAAAATTACTGCAAATTTCCCACTCGAAATTGTCTTCAGTGTCCACCTTGCGATACCTCTCTGCGCTGTTTAAGAGATTCCAGAGAGTCAATTAATACATAAATGTGCATTAACTATTAGGACATTTTACCTGACTGTCTGAGCCAATAAGAGATTCAGATTCAGTTGTGCCATCAGAATTTTTCTGTTAAAATAAATTAGTGTTGTACCTCACTGATTCTTGCCTAATATGGTTATAAAGAGTAATGTTTATTAAATACTTCCTTTTGTTTAAGGTCAGTTTGATGTATTTGTTGTATTTATTGTGTTTAAAAATGATTTCAATCAAACTGATTTGTATGGATGAGTTCTGAGTCTCTGACATATATTTAAGTGTTTTAATACATCCTTCAGTGAACTTCCTGATCATTCATGTCCATGCCCGTTCACGTTCAGGACAAGGCTGAAATTGGACCTCAGTCCACAACAATTGGGCAAATAATATTTAGAGCTGCTTTCACTATTTAAATCAGATTTCCTTTTGGTGTCAATTAAACCTTTGTTTTGTTTTGTTTGTTAATCAAAAAGACTGTAAATAGAAAGTTGGGTTGCAAAATATTGACCCTTCTCAGAAGAAGCATCATTCAGCTGCACAACTATCAGCCATGGCTCCTTCCTCCCAGCACTCTTGCACACGTGCAGGCACACACATTGCACATGAAATGCTTTTTAAAATGACCTGGGACATTGCTCCCCCAATAAGAGCACTGTTTTTAAAAAGAGGGGTGAGGAGGGAATTCCACAAGTACTAAAAAATACAGTTAGGATCACATGTAAGCTTCCTGTTAGGTGTAGTGATTTAAAAATTACCCATTAACTATTCTTAAGTCACAAACCTAGTGTCAAATATTTTAATACAGCTATGTATGAAGCGGTAACATGCTAAATGTACCCAACAGATAGCTAGGGAGCTGTATTCAAATAGCTTAATAACCCAGCTTTTGTTAAATGTGAATCCATCACATGAAATTGTGAAGATTTCAATTTTTGTGTGTGTGTGGTGGTGGTTTGTTTGTTTTCAACTGTTTTAAAAGAAAGAAGTTTCTTATTTTGAGGCATGAGTAGCTGGAACATAGTCTAAAACTACTACAGAGGATAAAAGGCCTCTTTTCATGTAGTACCTTTTCTCCTGATTTAACCTGTTTCCTTATTCAATGTACTTACTGTAGCACCTGGTCTCGGTACTCTGACATAGTTCTCACAGTAGCAGAAATTGTACTGAGGTTTCAAACTGAATGACAGGCTCAGAACAGCTGCTTTTGGTCCATGTCTTTACCCCTAAAAGAGAAGTTCATTTATTACTGGCATTCAATTCTGAAGTGCTTTTTACAACTGTAATAAAATCATAATTGTTGGTAGTCCCCTTGCTATTTCACCAGTGCCCAAGTACAAGACCTACTAATATTTTAAATAAAATAGATAAACCTGAAACGGTCAAGTTTGTTGAATAAAACATCCCTCTGCAGGGCCATGCATTTTACTGAAATGTAACAGAAATGAATATAACATGTACGTGGAAAAATGAAAGCCTTTTTTCTTGCCTAGATGTCTGTTTGGTACATGCTATCTTAAAAGGTCACTTCTGTGGAAACATTCTCTGCATCAGCCCTACAAGAGGGGGGTCCACACTTACTTCCCTGTGAGCATTTTTTTTGTTAAACTACAGAGGAACAACTCCACCAGCAGGTTCTCCCCTCCTCCTGCAGTGCATTTCACCAAACCCTCCTGTGCTGGACCCTTCCCCTTCAGAAACCTCTCTCAGTGCTTGGGGTGAGTCGAGGGCTTCCTTGGGGCCCACCTGCACCTCCCAGAGGGCTGCAGCTGCAAGAGGAGGACACAGGTCCCAAATCTCTTACAAACAAGACCTCGATTTTTAATGAAGTGCAAGGCCAGGTGATTGAAGTGTGGCTTCAGTTCCTACTGCAGCCATTTTCTAAAGCTAAAGACAAGCCAGGCAGAGTAGTTTTCTGCTCAGAGAGACTGAGCTCACGTCGCCCCTTAATGCCAAAACAAGAAGCGCTACACCCGCCTGGTGCCAAATTTCCTGCTATGTCAAACAGCGTGAGCAATTCATGCTGAAATCTGACCCTAATTAGTAAACCATAAGCCATTCTGTTTTGTTCTCTCTACGGGATGGGAGTCCTCTGACATTACCTGTGTTTTCTCCTGTAAAAAAGCATCTTCTTTCTTTCTTTCCTCTCCTGGACTTGGTCTAACAGCTCTCCCCATGACTGAGTTCATACTTGAGCTCTGTTGATACTTTGACAAAGTCTTTTTTCCAGGCCCAGCACTCGGCTCCCCATTAGAATCGCTTTGTCTGTTTAATTATTGCTGACTGCAAGGCAGTAACAAGCTGTGACAGAAGCTCCACGCGTGAAAGGGGAACCCCCAGGGACAGGTCCCCTGGAAAGCATAGCAGCAGGAAAGCTCTGACCTCTTTTGCAAGATGTCACAACAGCTTTAGAAAGTATTACCATTCCAGTAATTGTATCTATTGTATATAAATGAGACAATTAAAATGCATTAATTTGTTTTAGAAACAGTAAGTGATACTGGAGCCTTTGTAATTAAATATGGAGTGAACATAGCTACCATCAACACCAGTGACAAGGGTGATATAACAAGCTAGTTTTTGGCTGTACAAGTGGGAGCTATGGAAATGTGGTTCAAGTTACCATACTTCAGCACTGAAGTCATGTACTGATGAATATGTGCTGTACCATATAATAAAAGTGATTTTTCCCAGGCGTTGAAGCACACTCGCAAATATTCAAGGGTTTTTTTTTTTTTCCCTTAGTAATTTCAGAAATTCAGCTTTAGTGTTTTGCATAGTTCTTATATCAACTGCTACTTCTGGAACAAAAGTGTTTGTATACTACATAGAAGTGATTTCGGTCTGCATGTGCTTTATCCTCTTTTCTTATTTAAGCGCTATTAACAAGTAATGCAAGCACACCACCTGAAACGCATAATAGATTTGGTCTACACTAATTCAAAGGGGAAAAATGAGTTTCACATTTTTCTTTTAAGTCACTCACGTTCCTCAATTCCATGGCCTGCATATGGTGACTGAGGCTTCCCCAGGCGAGCGTCTGCATCTCCATCACACCCTCGCTGAGGGCTGGCTTCAGCCCCACGCTCTGTGCAGACCAAATGTGTGGGTCTTGGTCTCCATCTCTCCTGCACGGCCTGCCACATGAAACAGGGTTTGAATGCACTGCAACGGGATGTATTCACATCTTTATTATATAACTAAGACTCCATTTTTTTGCACTTGTCAGTAAACTTTCATACAGAATTTTGTCTAATTTCAACACAGAAACTATGTGATTAGATAAGGGGGAGGGGGAATTCTCAGAGAGAGCATCAACAAAGAAAAAGAAGGTACGAAGTTTTAAATCAAGATAATTTCTCTTTAATGGTGAGTCTGCGTGTACCAGGAAAAATCCCACTGCAAAGGATACTCTGTATTTTCCAAGACTGTGAAACTTTAAAATTAACTTTGGGGCAAAATTATATAGCTTTAAATAATTTTACGTTTCACTTGTGTACTCCATCTGGCAGGGAAAAAAGTAAAGCCCATAAAAAGTGGTCCAAATCCCATTCAAGTATTTCTGAAGCCTCAGAAATAGGTGTTGATTTAGCCCAGAAGATATGGCTTGGTTCTTGTCCTCATCTGATCCTTGCATTCAGCAAAACACCAGTGCTGGAAACCATCACTCCTCTAGATACTGCCTGGGGCCAGATGTCCCTCTCCACACTCAGTTTCTAGCCTGAATTCAGTAATGCTTAAAATCACCAGCGTTGCAGAAATAAGCCTGAAATAAGCTGCAGGGGACACTGCTCAATCATTTCCTTGTAATTTACAAGACGTTCATGTTCAAAGATGGAGTAACTCTCTTCTCTTGTGATTTCATGGTCTCCGTGTGCACAGCACACTGGCTGACTGTTCTCACATGTTTTCTCTTTTCCCTTTCATTGTAAAGACCGACTTGGCAAGTGCAAGACAAAGCAGATGCTAACAACGTGGCTTACACGACCGGGAAGCTGTGCTTTCACACCGATTACCCTGTTCTGCAGCATCCACCTGGGGTAAGACAAACCTACTGACTTTGCAAAAGGGAATTGTTCCCATAGCGCAAAGCATGGATTAAAATGAAGTCAGCATTCAGCGACTCTAAATTTTGATTTAAAAGAGCAATATAAACATACTGGTAGATGAATCTTTCTATAACAATGTAAATATACATAGATAAGCATTATGATGTCCATTCTGCATAGCAAGCCCATTATGTATCCCAAAATTTTCAAATGAAAACTCTCCAAGTATTGAGAATATTATGGGGCACTCACGCTTTCTCATATGGTTTGTGCTTTTGATACTGTTTTCCTTACATTGGAGTTGGGTGTCTGAAATAAATAAAAAGCCAATATGATTTATCCACAAATAAGCATCAAATTAGCATCACCTATTAAAATCACTAGATGCTATTCATTAGTGTGGAATAAAAATGGAAGAGAACTTCATTAAGAGAGCACAGCCATGAGTTAGCTCACAGCCTCACCTGTGCCAAAGCTCTCGCTGCTATGAAACATTATAAAAAGAGCAAAACCTCTTCCTTTCAAACATGCTTGCAAGACGTTAAAGTATTGAAGCACACTGAATTATTTTCAAGCATCATCCTGAATGTAGTTTTATTTATATAGTGTTTACACACTATTTGAACTCTGAGGATGTATTTAATACAAATAATTGAAGAAAACTTTTTAAATGGATGATGAGTTCATAGGAATCCTGTAAAAATAGCTTTAGGATTTCCCACATTTTGATCTTGCAACTATTATCCAGGAGATATCCTGGTTTAAAATCACCACCAATAACACTAAAACAACAACAACAACAACAACAAAAAACATTAATAATTAGATCTACATAATTACACCAGTGCAGAGTTCGCACTTTCTGTCCCATCCTACGCCTTGGCAACTTCACTGTGAAGTGAAACTTCCTTAATCCGATTTTATTACAGACACTGGGCCCCTTGCCTTCCACGAGCCACCTTTCTTTGTGAACAGATAATTCACAACAGGTTTTGTTTCTGCAAGAGAAAATAATCCTCTTTGTCGAGATAAGGAGGGAGACTGCGGTGCGTTTAAAATTGTATGACTGCGGCAAACAGCGCCTCAGAAGAAAGAAGTTACAGCAGAGCTTTGCACTTGACTTGCAGGAAATAATAAAAGGCTGCAAGTGTTAGAAGATGTCCCAAATGGGATGGACTTATGAATGTTAAATTTGAACTTTCTGCCTGTGGGATAATGGCATCAAAGTACTGTGAAGCTGCAGCAATGGGAAGTCAGTCTTTTGCTTGGGGGAAAAAAAAAAGATAAGAGAAAACTGATGCTAATTAACTATTAAATACACAGGGTAATTGTTGTTATAATGAGATCTCAACTCGCTACAGGTTCAGTTTCTCCACTGTATAAAGCAAACAGCTGCAGGAGGTGACAGTGAAGTTGTAGATGGATTTCACGTTTCCAACAAGCTGAAGCAACAAAACCCTCAAGCATACCAGATCCTGTCCTCTACTGCTGTAGACTATACGGATGTCGGGGTCGACTACTGTGATTTTGCCGTGCAGTGTAAGCAGAGGATTATAGAGTGAGTAGCTTCAGCAACACAGCTACATCGAAAACTAAAAGCCCCAGTGTCAGGGGATTGCGTGTTGGTAGGAAAAGGTCTGCTCCTGCCACCTTGTGGGGAAACTGTGCCTTAACTGGGTCTGGAGTTGCCTTTTTTTTTTTTTTTTTTTTCCTTTAGGAAGCCAGTGTATTTATTACTTGTTCTTTGCTGTCACACTGCAGCATAGTTTTCCTTATTCGGCTTTGCCCAGTTCTAGGGAGAACTCGCGGTCTTTAGGATACCTTCTGGGTGCAGGCACAGCAGCTGGGCTGGTTGCTCAATTCCAGCCTGTGCTGTGTAGCTGTCCCTCTGCTCTGCGCCAGAGAGAGGTCCTACTGTGAAGTATTTAGATTAACATCGATATACTATAAAAAGATCAAATTTAAGTGTTCCTAATCTCTCCTGAATTTAAAAACTTCGACTCTATGACTGAGGTGTACAGAATGTAGTAATTTGAGGAAATCAAGTGTCTACGCTTTTTGCTTATGATCCCTTTCCCTAGTTAGGATTAATTACCAAATTCCAATCCAGTAACAATTAGGAATGAGGGAACTAACCTTGTGGTATCGTCCTTTGTCATAGACTTGAATTTTGTTTAGAAAAGTAAGTCAGGTCGATGGTTGGATTTGATGATCTTGAAGGTCTTTTCCAGCCTAAATGATTCCATGATTCTAAGATTCAAGAGAAGAGTTCAGTTGTTTGTTAATTGCTAAAATGTTTCAGTAACAACGTAATACATTTCTTTTCCTTCCCTTCTCTGTTTCACAGTGTGGATTACAGAGGCCAAGTAGTTCGCATCAATTACAATAATGCAACAAGAGACACAGTGTTTGACATACCAGCCGAAAAAGTGCGGCCATTTTATGCAGCTCTAAAGGAATTTGATGATTTATTAAACAGCAGAGAACACAAGTTTACTTACAAGCTGAAACCAGGTCAGGAAGTTGTTTCTCCTCGCAATGATTTTTCATGTTTCTCCTGACATGTCAAAACACTCCAGCATTGTTAGCGCTGTCCTGGCACTGAGAGGAAATGTTAGCCCTGTTTGTCACCTATGTTATTTCACACCGTATCTTCACATTCACTTCATAGATTTCTTCTGCTATCGTTCCACTATAAAGAAAAAAAAATGAGGTGTCTGGGTGGGGGATAGAATCTATTGGTTAGCCCAACCTGTCTGTTTAGGACAAAGACTCACGCCACGTAGGAAATTTAACTTGTCAAAGCACCAGCACCACAACTGGGAAACATCACTTGCAAGCCTGCTGGGCCACCCAGTTCAGTACACGGTACGTGATCACACCCTCGTTCATGCAGGGTAGGAACATTATATCAGATGATTCGCCTGTGTTGTGCCGCTCCTGTGTATTCCCAGGGCACCTCACCAGTGCTGCAGGGAATTCAGTCACCTCCCTTCCTTAGGCACCCAATGCCCGAGTAATGCGGGATGAATTTCGGAAGTCTCTGCCGTTGTGCTGCTTTTTCTGGGTGGCCTGTGCAAGACAGCTGGAGGCAGATTTGCAGAGGCACTAAGTGCTGTAAACTTCAGCTGGAGTTGCACGGGGCTGTGTTTTGAGCATAAAACACAAGTGCTCTTTAAAAGTTAGCCCATACATATATTTAACTACTTTGGCCTTAATCTCAGTTCCTTCATTCTCCAACTATAAAATAAACATACAAATAGTCCCTCAGCTCCCACGAGGTGTTACAAAAGTAAACTTATTAGTGTACGTGACCACATCACACGTTATGGTGCTACTGCCTTTAAAATGTCTATGAGGAAACGAATCACTGCCTATTGGGAACATGCAATAAAATAATTTATAGGATCACATAATAAATGATAAAACAAAGTACTTCCCATTACACAAGTACCATCTTCCTACCATTAAATGCACCAAAACGGCAGTAGAGGGAAGGGTACATAGGAATGAAAGAGCATAAGGGTATTTAACCAGAGATTTATCATAATGGTGGCACACAAAGGAGAAAAATTTAAATGACAAGCTGGCCTTAATTAAGGCATTTCCTAACTTTCAGTGGTTTAGCTTTGTACTCTCAGAATTCTTTTAACAGGGATAGTAATGCAGGATGTGTATTGCACAAGTAGTTACAGACCCATCAAGTGAAAATCACCCGCTTTTCTTTGACCCCTTTGATCCTTCCACGGATTTCCCCTAGCCTCTGCTTTCTAAGCATGCCTCCGAGCTGTGGCAAGCCTACTCAACCTCATGGGGGTGACTCAGCGTGCTGGGCTAGTCCCCAGTTAGAGGCTTTCGCTGAGCTTTGTCTCCAGTATCTCCTCAGAGGTTCAGCACGGCTTTGTCCAAACAAAAGAAACGTGGATAAACGAGGTAGAAGGTTAAAATGAAAGATAATTTGTATGTGTTGTACACTTTTTAGGTCCATTTTTGGCAGGCTCAATCTGTCCATGCTTCCCAGCATCTGGGAAGAAAGATTTGATCTCTTTTAGGGGCAGAAGTTCTTTTTTAAACAAGTACCTTCTTACAAAGAAACTCATCTAATAATTTTCTCTAAGCTATCTCAACTGTTTTTTTTTCTATCTGTCCATGGGATTGTCCAGAAACAGAGTTGGAGCTTCCTGGCCTCTCTGGTTGAGAATCACCAGCTAATCTAAAGCTACCACATCACCAAAACCTTCAGACGAGCTATCTGAAACTATCACTCCCTAGCTGTTGATATGGATCTATCTCAACATCATCTGTCTGAAGGAATAAAATATACCAGCTGTTAAACTTTGTGCCATCTCTTCACAGGAGACATAGTAACCTTCGACAACTGGCGCGTGCTTCATGGTCGCCAGAGCTTCCAGTCGGGATCAGAGGTGACTCGCCACCTGGAGGGTGCCTACGCCGACTGGGACGTGGTCATGTCAAGGCTCCGGCTCCTCCGAAAGAGGGTCCTGAATAGGGACTGAGCTTTCTTCTGACTAGAACAAACAAAACTAGACTGTCTAACCTCAAAAAAAAAAAAAAAGTATAAATAAAATAACTCATGTCAGAAACTAACATTGTGAATATGTGAATTTATTTCTGAATCCCATCAGGTGCTGAGACACTTGCTGCTCATAGCAATTAAAGATCTGTCTGGGATCCCACTGGGATACCCCAGGGATTTGCCCTCACAGATACACCCGCCCTCCCTAAAAAGCTTGAAAGGATCATCAAGAAGGAGTTTATAAGCATTAGTAACTACAGGTTTGTTATGAACAGCATCTTCCACTACTTTCAGAGAGGCATCCTTTGCTGCATAAATCATAACCCAATTCATTAGCAAAACAAGCAACCGCTGCTCTGGAGTTGTTTTTATGTAGAGACCTTTCTAAGAAGAACCACACTTTACCATGAGCTCTCAGTCAACAGCTGCTGTGCTCTGTGTATTCCGATGTACACGTGATGACTGTCACAGCCACAAATAACTTTTTCTACGTTTCTAAGTTCATAAGCTTGGAAACCCTAGAGCTAACAGAGAATGCATTGCGTTAATTTTCCTCTGCATTAGGAACAGAAAATTCTCAGCGTGGAGGTCGCTGATAGGGCCAGAAATGACCTCCCTGTGAGGGCAGTGAGGCCCTGGCACAGGCTGCCCAGAGAAGCTGTGGCTGCCCCATCGCTGGAGGTGTCCAAGGCCAGGCTGGATGGGGCTTTGCGCAACCTGGGCTGGTGGGAGGTGTCCCTGCCCATGGCAGGGGGTTGGAACCAGGTGGTCTTTAAGGTCCCTTCCAACCCAGTGATTGAATTCAGATCCATTTTTAATACCAAATACCAGAGTACACCTTTGGCAGATGCGGTCGGGAGGATATTCTCTCACTCGCATTCTGACTGGAGATCACACCATGCAAAAATCGCTGCAGCAATTACTACACAAGTTAGCTACAGCTCTGCACCACTGTTTTTTCCCCCTATATTCAGATGCCGAATTGAAAGACAGAGGTTTAAAATGCAGGTTTTCACACCCAAATGTATGTCCATTGAGTCTATTCCTTCTAGGTGTGGAGCTAAGAGGATGCCCTCTCACCCATGCTGAGGGCCTGACAAGATAACCACCCTTCTGCTCCCCAGTTTGCTCCATTCAACTGCTGATTTCCAAACTATTGCTTAAAATTAATTAATTAATTAATTAAAATTAAATAAACCCATGCCACTTCCTGGCAGGCTAAAACAATAGTACTGTAACTGTGAAATTAAATAGCTGTAGAATTAACTACGTTAACAACAACAACGACAAGAGAGCACAAAAAACCCTAAGTGAGACCCTGATATAAGCTTGCAAACACTCTCAAGACTTCTACTCATAATTTACAGTCAACAGATGTCTCTCAGTAAGCAAATAAAACCGAATTGGGATTTGGGTGTGAACAGGCACAGTGTGGTTCAGAGCCAGTCCTCTTCAGTACACAGCCAAATATTTTTGTTAAAGTTTTAAACTGACATTAATATGTAGCACAACAAAAATGGCTTTCGGTGGTTATTTGATTTCTCAGTGTCTCCTTTAGTAGTTAACTTTGGAAAGAAGAGCACTGTATTTTTTTGCCTTTGCTATAAAAGGTGGAAAAGATGGGGAAAGGCTTATACCTATATTCTGTAAAACACCAGCAATACTGTGCTTTAGCTGGGATATTTGGCATATAACAATTAGCGAGGATTGACATTTTTAACATTTTAATAAGACATCTTGGGATCTATAAAGACGATGAATAGCAAGGAGATTTTCTGCTTTTATTCAGTAATTTTCTGAAACTTCTTTTAGTCATCTGTCTGTTTATTAAAAGCCATCGTGGAACCAATTATTCTTTTGGGCTCAGTTCATATTTTGTGCCTGGGAGATACTGCCCTTACACACCCACGCTTCCTCAAACTGTTTTCCCCCAAAACGCATAGGATCAGTGCTAAATTTTACAAGACAAATACAAAAAAGGCAGCTTTGCTGATGACAGGCATACGCCGTGTACCCAGGCAGGATGGTGGCTGTAGGAGTGCTGCTGGCCCTACGTTCCCCAACAGCCCGGTCACTGCTTGCACGCAATTTGCTGTGTATAAATCCTGCAGTATTTTCTATGAACTTAATTCTAGCTATTATATATAAATATATAACAATTTTTTTCATGCAGAAAGTACATCATGAAGTGCAAATAATAATAAAAACTGTTCCCTGGTGGAGACGTGAAGCACAACACAGACAAAATCCAACCCCAGCAGAACCTCTGTGAGTTCCGTGAGATGTCCCTTTTAACTGGGCAAGCGTCACTCTATCCACACAAGTCTGATGCAGAACCAAAATTCAAGTTTTTCACTGCAAACCCTCTGCTTAGCCTCTAGGACCTCACTGCTTATATCACCGATTTTAACAGTTCCCAAAGCTAACTGTCAGCTTAGGGCAAGCCCATGTCTTAAAGTTACAAGCTGTAAACTTGGAATTGCTTTTGGTAAAAGCTCTGAATTAATAAATACATTTTATACTTACATTTTAAACTTACAGAAGATCCCCCACCTTGTAATGCCACTCCAGTAGCACAACAAGATGGTAAAGATCAAGATGTTGAAAGAGCACAGACCTCCCTTTTCACACCCACCCCAAAAAGGAGAATAATTGGCAACTGTTCATAAGAAACCCCACTTCCAAATAACCTCCGATTAAACTGCAGAAAAGGAAATTGTCAAAACCAGGAGACTACCTACGTGAACTGTCTTGTAGGGCATGGGCTGTTTGAGTTAGCAAAATATATTTGAAGTCAAACATTTTGTGTAGTTTAATGACTTCATTTTTTTAACATGTTAAAGCACCCAACAACTTTGAAGCAGGCAGAAGATTTCTTTGTTGCCGTGCCACAATACATCTCTTTCCTCATTAGCTCGACCAAAAGGAGGCAGGAGGTCTAAACATGTGGATAGCAGAGGGTGGTTTCTCTACTGTCCTTCCTCTCCAAGCCGTCGCTTAGATCAATAACTACTTGTGTTGGCAATAACCAAGCCATGCACCTCTTTCAAGTTATTTTTGGAAGCATTCAAAGCAGCAAAGATCACAGAACAGCAGACACGGAGAAGATAGAGCAATATTAGAGTATGTCGTACTCAATTTCTGAAAACTTGGCCTGCTTTTTGACTTTAATCAAACAGGAATGTTGTTATGAAAATGTGCTGTGGGCCATACAATGCCCTTGAAAGGAAGCAGGCGAGGAGCAGAGCCGCAGCGAGCGGTGCAGTAGCATACCTCTGAAACGCTGCTCCATACAGGGGATCTGCTGAGCTCCCCAGAGCACGTCTGGCAGTCAGCAGGACACAACCCTCTCCTTCAAACTATCAAGCCTCCAGTCTCCAATCCTTTGCTGTCTCCAGTACTGTGTTCACAAGCAAGTTTTCCCACACTGCTCCTTTGCAGTTTTGTTTTCACTTTGACAAGTACATGCAGCAGACAACTGTAGGTAGGAGGGAGCCCTACCCATTCATTTTCTTGGCTCCTCGACAAGATTGCCAAGGAAAACAAACACTGCACAGCCAGAGCACGTGATTTTTTTGGCAACTGTGAAGGTTTAGAAAGAGCCTACCTTCATCCTTTCAGGTTTTCCCAACACCCCAAGGCAGTGCTTCCCTTAGCAGCACACTCCACAAGGAAACACGGCCAGTTGTGTGTGTTGTGTTTGTGGCTTTTTGTCGACTTCATCGCCCCCCTGCTCACTCCCAACACCATCCCTTTGGCCACCAGCACGCCATCCAGCAGATGCTTTAATTGTACCTTTGCATATAACTAATATGCTTTATGTATCACTTTTACCCATCGCCACTATTTCTATTGTTGTTGACTTTAGTCAATAAATAAGCCTAATTTAACTTTCTTTGTTTTCCATAATGAGTAGCTATCACAGCTCAAAGAGCTCTTGGTGTCAGAGGACAAAAAACCCTCTCCCCAAGTGCACTTCACTCATTTCCAAAGCTAACGATTCACTTCCTGCTGCTTTTGCACTCCAGTGAATTATTTTTGTGGCAGAAGGGGCTGCAGGGAGGTACCCCCAAGTATTTCCAAGCGCAGTTGTGGCTATACCTGCTGTAGGAGAGCTCCTTTCCCACCCTGCAGGATTTAGGCAGCCGAGCACGCTTCCACTTCACTGTTGGCATTTCTTTCCCTAGCTCGCTGTTTGCAAGCTCACAGCAGCAGCGATGTGACGCGCACATCTCCGGGGTGACCTCAGCTGCCAAGCACGACAGCCAGGGGGAAGGCAAGGACCGGGGAGCGTTGTCTCCAGCAGATGAATAAAGCAAAGCAGTGTGAGCGGAAAAGCGCAGCGCCTTCCTGCTGGCAGCCCAGCCAGATGTCTGCTGTCAGAGGCACCACCCCGAGCGCAGAGGCTCAGGAGCTCTGCTCCGTGATGCATTGCACATTTTACAGCCGCATCTGCTGGAAAAGCGCTTGAAGGATGATTTATCACCTTGCTGTGCCAAAGAACTGAGAAGCCCCCTGAAAGTTTTCCACTTCATACTAACACTCCCAGCTTGGTGATCCTCCCTGGCTTTTTCTGTGTCCTCTTCTAGTGTTGCTGCACGCGGCAGCCATGGAAGGAGCCTGGAAACTAACGGCAGAGGCCAAAGTTCGGAAAGGATACAGATCAAATTAATCATAGATCACCAGTTTTTGAGCAAAATCCCTCACCAGCAGCTCCCAGCAGGACTGCCTGCTGCAGGGCACCCAGCCCAGCCCCAGCCTTCTGCCCTGGCTGCACAGACCCTCGGCGAGCACCCGTTGGTGGTGTCATGGGAAGTGCCTCAAACTGGCTGAAAAGGATAACGAGGCTGTAGCTATTTAGAAATATGTATGCTTTCAGCAGTTTTGAGCTTTCTTCCCTGAAAAGCACAGCGGAGAGGCCTGTTCTGGCTGCTGGGAAGGACAGCCCAGAGTGCCGCAGGTATTTTTGTTCCTGTGTTGCAGGTGTTAGCCCCACAGGACCAGCACATGAGGAAAGAAGAGGAACAACCAACGCTGCTCTGCATGGGGTCAATCCCAAAGCCACCGGTGC